TATTGCTGGTTCAGTGCCCTTGACCTCGGAGACGGGGGTCCTGGAGTGGAGGGTGTGCCTGACTACTGCTGCTGCTGTCCAGGAGGGGGAGATAAGGAGGGCTAGGGAGGGAGGGGTGGGTAGAGAGAGAGAGGGAGGGAGGGAGAGAGAGAGAGAGAGAGAGAGAGAGAGAGAGAGAGAGAGAGAGAGAGAGAGAGAGAGAGAGAGAGAGAGAGAGAGGACTCGGAGAGGGAGAGAGAGAGAAGGGCGAGGCCGAGGGGGTAACCGCGCCGCCACCAAAGACAAAGACCCAGCCCTCCGCCAGCTCGAGGTCCACCGCGCCGTCGGCGCCGTCGGTCGACATGAGCGACAGGGCCTCGGAGAGCTCGACAAAGGCGAGAAAGTACTCGAAGTTGCCCTCGACGTCGGTGAGATAGGAGAGGCGGCAGCCGGGGTCGAGGACAGTGGTGGGTGCCGCCTGCGCCGCCGCCGCCTCGGCCGCAGCAGCCTCCGCTGCCGCCGCCGCCGCCGCCGCCGCCTCTGCCTTTTCCACCGCGTCTCCAAAGCGCTCTGCCACCGCTGCCGCTTTTCTGGCTCTGCCGCAGATGGGTCCAGCTGCATGTACACTCAACGAGGCGACCGGATTGAAGAACGCCCAGAAGGAGACGCGGTGAAAAAGAATTTCAGTTCGGTTTATCGGTGGTTGGGGGTTCTGGCGGTATCTTTTGTTCTTTCAGTGCATTGCGCGCTCGAGGCATTGCGGCCACCAGAGTCGCTTAGGCGGCTCAGGGCACAACGGGGGGGCAACCCTCGCAACTCCACACCCGGAGGGCAGGAGCCCCACGGCATTCTCACCAGAAGAGTTCAAGGGGCCCGCCAAGAGGCCGAGACGAGAGTCGAGAGACAGAGAGAGAGAGAGATCGCGGATGCCGGATCGTCTTCATTCACAGTGGTATACTCTATTAGTATTACTATCTCAGTGTTTTAGTGAGTCTCACTCTTCTTTCACGAGAATGACAACAAAAAAATCTCTCTCTCGAATGACGAAATAAAGGGAGGCCCAGCGCGAATAAAAAGAATTTTGGAATCATGCAGCTTGTCCCATGACAGATTCATGCGAGCGTAGTTGCGACATGGCAAGTGAATTCATGCCCCAGGTACTGTTGATGCGACCATGCGACTGATGCGTGATGGACTGATGGTCATGTCGGCGAGAAGCTCGCGCCTCACGGCACGGCTCTCAACGCCGCACCCACCTCGCTGGGCTCCGCCGGATCGCTCGCCCCTCCCGCGCCGGCCGCGCCCGGGTTTGCGAGCAGTGGCGGGCCGCCGCCCCGCCACGCCGCCGGCTCGGGCGGCCCCGAGGCCTGCAGCCTCCTCCTCAGCCAGAGGCGGAGCGGCTCGTCGACGTTTGAACGGACGACGCCCGCGACCGCGTACGTGCAGAGCAGCGACGCCATCATGTAACTGATGTGGCCGAACCGGCCCTTGCCCGACGGCGGGAGCGAGAAGAGCGCCGCCAAGTCGGCGGTCTCGGGCGGCGGCGGCGGCGGCGGCGGCGGCGGCGCGGGCGCAGCGGAGGCGTTGGCGCCGGCGAGGATGTCGAGGGAGGGGGCGGCGGTCTCGAGCTTGAGGAAAGCCCACATGATGAGGTAGTGCGAGAGGTAGACCTGGAAGCCGAGCTCGCCAAGCGAGGAGAGGGCCGGGTGGCGCAGCGCGCCCGCAAAGGCGCCTCCGTCGCCGCACGACGAGGCGAAGAGGAAGAGGCCGAAGAGCGGCGCCTGCTCACAGCTTGAGGTGTGAAGAGACGCTGTTCACACCTCGAGGGGGAGGCCGAAGAGGGCGGCGCCGCGGCGGTCAGCCAGATCGGCTCGAAGTTGAGACGGCTCCACGCGCGGTTTGGCCACGAGCCTGCGGGCGCAACACACGGCACGGCAGTCCGTCCGTCAGTGTGACACACCTCATAGACGTGGGGGGAGAGAGTCCGCGTCGGCCTCGAGATAGGGGGAGGGACGCTGCATCTAGGGCCGCCGCGCCGTCCTCGCCCGGCCAGTGCGCGACACCGACCAGGAGGAGGAAGAGCGGCACGATGGCGTCGGCGAGACGGCCGAAGAGCCGCGGCGCCCGCCGGCCCAGCGCCTCGCCCCACCGCGTGCGCACGAGCGCCTCGGCGACGCACATGCCGAAGGCAAAGTCGGGCACTCGAAAGGGCGGCCAGTGGTACGCGCAGCCGTACGTCGCCCAGCCCATTCCCCCGTGCAAGAGCAGTCGCAGCGGCACGGGCGCGAGGACGAGCAGCAAGCAGAGCAGCAGCGGCGGAAGCCAGCCGAGTCGGGTCGCGCCACTCGCGGCGCGCAGCCACGACTGGAGGAGCGGGAAGAGGAGCCAGGAGAAGGCGAGCGTGCTCAGCGTCCACGCGGGCACGTTCGGGTAGTTGTCGTCCCCGCCTGGCGCGAGATTTTGCCGAGATTAGCCGAGAGCGGCCGAGATTACGAGGAGCGCGGGTAGTTGCCGTCGACGCCTGGCACGCTGACCCGGCCGGGGACGCCCGTCAGCCAGGCCTGGCAGAGGACCAGGCTCAGCAGCATCGAGTCGGCGTGCGCCACCACCCCGTCCCAGTCGAAGCAAACGCGCCACGCCGCCGTGAGAGCATAGAAGAGGTAGTACGAGCCGAGGATCGCGCCGAACCGCTTTGCGTAGAAGCGCAGCACGGCCGGCCACGCGTCGTAGCGAGCGTCGTGGTAGGCGTAGTGCGTGATGAAGCCAGAGAGGATGATAAAACCTTGCACTGCGACGTACCCGCGGCCGAGCAGCAGCGTGAAGACGCCCTCCTGCGGCGGGAAGGAGCAGTAGTGGCCAAGAACGATCCAGCCGGAAAGTAGCGCACGCATGCCGGAGATGTGGTCGAGCGGAGGCCGCCGCTGCGTCTTCATGCGTCCCGAGGAGCAGCGACGAAGCGCAGCTTGGCTCCCCTCTGCTCCCCTTTGCCACAAGGAGGCCGGGTTCATGCTACCTCCTGTATCGGGGTTATTGCGTTTACGAGGTGTGAACGTGAACAGAGTAGCCAGATCGCTGTCGATCGTTACGGCACGCATGGGGGGCCTCCCGGACGCATGATCCTAGCCCAATAAGTTCCACGGAGCAGATTTGGATTTTTGACAGAATTAATGCACTGCCCCCGCGCGGTACTAACGATCGTAGTTTTGGGGGCGGCGCCCCTCACGGCACCACACCGCCGCAGGACAGCCCGAGATTAGCCTAGCAGTGAGGGGGAATCGCCTGCCGGTCGGCTTGGCACGAGCCAAGCACTTGGTGGCCGTCAACCGAGTCGGGTCCGAGCGGCGCCTCAGGTGGGTGCCACGGCGTCCGCACGAAGACGTGGCGGGGTGAGGAGCCAGGGGTGGTGAACACCTCCCCGTTCGGCCATCGTGTTACGACATCCGACCTGCTTTAAACCGACCTGCTATCACGGCAGCATGCGTCGACTGCCATTCGTCGTCGTGGCGGTGTTGGCGTGCGCGAATGCTCAACATTCGCGCGGCACCGACTACGCGGCTCCCAAGAGCGCTGTACACGCTGACGTCTGACGATGGTGTCGATCTCGTCGTCTGCGATGCTCGGCAACAACCACCTCAACAACACCCGCTATATGAGCCAGCTCTGCACATCTCAACCTGTACCAACAGCACAGCAACTTCACCTAGAACTTTGAGAGGCTGCAACTGAGGGATAAAAGTACTGCCAGCCAAGTATTGCTGCTGCAACCCTGATTTTCTAACTCTGTGACTCCAATGGGTCTACGTCTCTGCTGTGTTAGATCATCAGAGGTGTCGAGGTGGTGTCGAGCGGTGTCGAGCGGTGTCGAGCGGTGTCGAGCGGTGTCGAGCGGTGTCGAGCGGTGTCGAGGTGTCGAGTTTGGCACCTTGACACGGACGAGCGTGGTACCAGCCTAGATGGTGTCGAGGGGTGTCGAGGGGTGTCGAGGGTGTCGAGTTGGCATGGGGTGTCGAGGTGTCGAGTTGGTGTCGAGGTTTGGTGTCGAGGTGTCGAGGCCAGGGCTCAGGCCTGCCTGCTACACGATGGCGACGTTCTCAGGGTTCTGTCGGCGTGCTTTTGCTGCCTCCCGCTTGGAGTCGGCAGTAAAGCAAGTGGGTGGAAGCGGGGGCGACAGGGACGGCGGCGGCGGCGGCAGGGGGCTGGGGGGTCGGCGATGCCGAGATGTGTGCCCATGTTTGTGCGTGGGGGGCGTTGCACGCCGCGGATCAGGCCGGGCGGCGGGGAGGAATCGGACGGCGACAGCGGCGGCAGGGAGGGGCAGTGGCGGTGACCCAGGGATGGTGGCAACCGCCGCGAGCGGGATGCAGCCGGCGAGGCGAGGTGACAGGTGGGCGCGACCGTTGCGCGCTGTTCGAGTGCGCACGACAAAGCAGCTCTGATGCCATGGTGACCTGCGTGCGCGGGTATGGCAGGGGTCGCGCCGCAGCCCGTGCTCACCGGGGGCTCAGTCTCGATGGGGAGTGGGGGGGGAGAGAGAGCAGCCAGGCCCGCGTACCGGTAATGCGAGACACATTGACAGTTGGAGCCGCCCGCGGCTTGCAGAGCGTTTGAGAGTTGTCGGGCTACGTGCGCATGTGCCATGTCGCGGGCGACGCCCGTCCGCAGCTGACACGTCGTGGTGACGATGATGGCGAGAGGTTTTAGAGCGAGGAGCCCACGGTGGAGAGGAGCGGCATTGGCCCTGTCTGGGCTCGCTCGAGTTTTAGCGGTCTGGGCATGGGCATGGGCGCGGCAAAATCTTGTATCAGAAAGAAAAGAAATAAGCGCACGAGGAATGGAAAGAAAGAAATAAAGAACGAAAACAGAAACCCCAAGGGAGGGATGGAGGTGCGAAAATTGCGAGAATTCTTTTCCTGCTGTGCCTGTGATAGTACTAGCACGCGCCAGTTCGCAACCGGTGTCGAGCGTGTGTGTGTCTTTGGAGCGACGGCGTTGTGATTTTTTTCCTGCTTCATCCGACAGATGGCCTCTTCGCTGTTCCTCACCCTTGCGCAGCCAATCGTCGCCACGCTGCACGCTGCGCCGCCGACGCTGCACGTTGCGCCGCCGACGCAGCCTCGCGCTTCGCTGCCTCCTCTGCGCCCTCGAGCTGCCGTGCTGCTGGCGGAGCCGGCGGCAGACGAGTGCGGGTTGGACGAGCCGCAGCTGGAGTGCGCGGTTCGCAGGCAGGTGGACGGGCCGTGGGCAGATGCGTGGGCCAGGTACGTACTGCTTCGGCCCGGCATGAGCTACCGCGAGCTCAAGGAGGCGACGCGGCGGCGCAACAGGCTACGTCCCGAAGACCGGATTCCCGGCACTTTTCGCACTGTGGTCCTCGTGCACGCGGTCTGCTTCACCGCTGCGATCCCAGCACTGCTGAGGAACGACGCCGTGTTTCCAAAGCTCCTCGAGGCCGCCGCATCTGGCGTGGTGCGGGCTGGCATATAGCGCCGCTCGAATATACAGCATGTACTCTGGGTCCCGAGGGTGGGTGCATGCATAGAGTTCTCCTTGGACGGTGTTGTTTTACGAGACATTTCCGCGGGGTCTATCTGCGTCAGAGCTCTCTGCCCCGAATCTCTCGCGCGCGCCGGAGAGGGCCAGCGGAGAGCCCCACAGATACGCCGCGCCGCGGAGCGGCTGGCAGGGGGGGGCCCGGCTCGCCGCACACGCCGGACGGAACCCGTGGACGCCGCCGGGGCCGGGAGCAAGCGTCTCACGAGTAGTAGATGTGCCAGATATTCACTCTGTCCTGGGCCGTCGGGTCGTTCTCCACCGTCAGGACGTAGTCCTCCCCCTCGTACCCGTCCGTCTCGCCGTTGCGCGCCGCGTCGTACTTGTCGAGCAGCAGCTGGTAGGCAAAACACATGCCCTTTTTGCACGCGTTGGCGCACCCCGGCGTGCACCCACGAATCGCCTTTTTGCCGTCCGGGCCATAGCCCGGCGCTGGCTGCCCGTCCGAGTGCTTGCGCAGGCCTGCGTGCCACAGGGACAGCTTCTCCGACCCTTTGAGGACGGTGCGGATGCCGACGAAGCCGTTCTTCACCCCGCGCAGCAGGAAGGACGCGCTCTTTGCAATTTGCACCATGCCCCGCCCATCGCTGTGCCCGATCATCATGCAGCTCGAATTCTCACCCCGGCCGCAGTAGTGGCCGGGCCGGTAGGTGCCGTCGCAGTGCCCCGGCGGCCTGCCCGTCACCTTCACGCCCTCTAGCAGCTGCTGGATGTCGGACTCGTTGGCGTCGAGGCGCCGGGAGCTCGGATTCCACCAATCGTCACGCTGTATGCGCGCGGCGAAGCGGTCGGCGTGCACCTTGGCCAAAGCAAAGGGTGGGTGAGGACGGTGCAAGAGGGAGGGAGCGGCAGATGCCGACACAGCGGTGCCGATGGCGGCGGCAAGGGTCGAGGCCACGGAGGTGGGGCGGGAGGGCGAGAGTAAGGGAGTGACGAGCGGGAGTGAGTGCGCCTTCAACACCCGCCCCTCTCTCGACTCGCTCGTCGGGGCGAGGCTCGCGCTCCGGTGCCACCACTCGGCCTGGAGGGCGCGGCTCGCGGCGGCGCCGCCGCCGTTGGCGACGCGCAGCACATCCAATGCGCCCTCGGGTAGGGCTTGCTCTGGGACGGGCACGTCCGGCCCGTAATAGAAGGGCTCGGGGGGGAGTATGCCGAACTTGCGTTGCGCGTCGGCGTCCAGCCTCTCGGTGAGGAGCACGCCGGCCTTGTCCACGAGGAGGTTGGCGATCCCGCCCGCCTCGACCGCGCGCGGCGTAAAATGTGTCGCGCACCGCCACGCGTAACCACACCTAACAGGGATCGCGGCAGGAGGCGTCGACGAGGCGCCGAGGAGGTGTGCCGACTAGTGAGTCGAGGAGGCTCCGCGCCAGCGTTTCCTCGTCTCGACGTCGACGCCGCGGTAGTTCGCGCCGATCCCTCTGATGCAGCCCCCGGTGACGTTGGCCCTCGCACGCGCGCGTATCGCGGCGTATTTTCCCTTCACGTGCCACAGCTCGCCGGTGAGCGGGGTGCCATGCTCCGTCACGTACCGCTGGAACGTCTGTAGCGCGTCCTCCATCGCGCTGAGGAAGAAGTACGCGAGCAGCCGGCCACGGAAGCGGTGCGACCTCCATCCAGGGTGCCAGCTAACCTGAGAGCCTGGGGCAGCCCCCTGCGTCTTAGGCGGGGTAACATCGGGCCGGTCCACCCAGCAGACGGCGTTGTACTTGCGGGGGTTGCGAGTGTCGCCACAGAGGTTCACGTGCGGCGCGCACTTCATGTACCGCATTGCGTAGGGGATGTCTCTCTCGGCCTGCTCCTCGCTCTCGGTCGCTATCATTGGCCCAGCGCTGGCATGGAAGCCACCCACGTCTGCGCCCCACACGTTGGCATAAAAATGCATCTGGGGTTCATACGCCGCCGAAAACGGCGCGAGGAACGGCGGGCGGCTCCCGCTCATCGTCTGCGTTTGGAAAAACAGGCCGAATTCCCTCTCCGTCATTGAGCTGTCCCACAGGATAACGTCGACGTTCTGGCCGTACTTGATGGGGCCACAGTACGTGCTCTGGTCCGTCCCCATGCCGCCCATGGCCGCGTTGCGCGAGACCAGCGTGATTCCGAGCCGCTTGAACACCGGCTCCAGCACCTCGTGCATCTGAATCGTGTACGACTGCCAAAAGTTGTTGCCGTGTCCGACCGCGGCGCTGTGGCCACCGAGTGCAACCGTAAACTCGTCGTTGGTCATCAGCGCGTGCAGCATCCGCCGGGCGAGGCCCTCGTACGACCTCGCCGTGGTGAACGCGTTGTAGAAACCCGGCTTCGCCGCCTTGGGGTTTTTGAGCTCGTCCTCCTTGGCGATCCAAATCTTGAACAGGTCCTTGGCGCCGGCATACTCCTGCTCGATCGCGTCTACACATCAGTGGGGGCCGAGGGCTCAGAGAGCAAGGGTCGTCGAGGACACATTCGCAGGCCCCTCCCTCGATCGCGCCCTTTGTCGCGCCGACGAGGTTGAGGCTGGCGTCGAGAAAGTGGTTCACGTACACGGCGTCCGTCTGCCAGCTATTTTCCGGGAAGGCGTCGTCCGGCACGTCACCGTGTGGGTAGGCCCAGTAGTCGGGCACGGGCCTCGTCCCCTCAAAGTCGTCCCAGAACTGGAAGAGCTCGCTCTGCGGCGAGAGACCTGCCGCCGGCGCGGAGCCAAACGCGCCCCCAAAGGGCGGAGGCACGGGCGCCGGCGGGGCGGGAAGGGGGACATAGGCTGCTGCGGGGGGGGCCGAGGAAAGCGCCAAAGCCGGAGGAGCAGCCGAAGATGGTTGCGACGCGGTCGCAGCCACTGCGCCAGTGGCGGAGCCTGTGCCACTCGCGCAGTAAGATCCCGCCTCGGGGGAGGCGCTCCCGGCGCTGGTGTTGTATGAGGGCGGGTACTTGCCGCCGAGAAACGAACCGTGCACCTGGCAGGGGAGGGTGAGGAGAGCTGGCGGTCTCGAGGACGCTGCCGGAGTCTGCTCCAAAGTGGGGGCCTTGGCAGGCGAGCTGTGTGCACTAGTGGCGGCCGGCACCTGTGCCTCGACCTTTGCGAGAGCATACAGCTCGCACTTGGGGTCATTCGCCCGCGGGTGCCAGGCGGCCGCGCTCGGGCCGCAGCAGCGCTGGACGATGGACCACCACTGCATGTGCTCCTGTATTGCAAGTCCCGTGCCTCGGGTGGGGAATCCGGGGGGGCTTGTGTCTACAAAAGTGCGCCTGGAGATGCCGCGTCTCGGTGCCGGTCAGATCAAACTCCTGCGCGGGCGACCGAAGCGCTGGGTCATGCGACCGCACCTGCCTCAAGTCATTCCCGGCTCATTCCCGGCCCAATCTCGGCTCAATCCCGGTCGACCTTTGCGAGCGAGTCTAGCTCTGAAACGGAGCCCTTGTGCAGCATCGCGGGAATGTGGAGCGTGTAGTTGCATCGCCCGTCGACCGGCTCGTGGGTGGCGGACGAGCAGAAGACGGCGCCGCCCGGCGGCGCGTCCGCGATCGATGACAGCTGCGTCACCCTGGCGTACGGCACGGCAGAGGCCGGCACCCCAGGTACGGCGGAGGCCGGCACGGCAGAGGCCTCATCCTGGCGGCAACCCACCGGCTCCGGCTTGCCCGACCGGAGGGCGCACAAGCGGAGGACGGAGCAGAGCGCGTACCACTGGAAGGTGGCGCCGGACTGCTTTGAGCCGTACTGCAGTACGGTCGTTCCGTTGCTGCAATTCACCATGCGCGGCCGGCGGCGGCGGCGGCGGCGGCTCAGCGCGGTGCGGAGTCGGTATGACGCGTGTTTGGGACGCGTCCAATGGACGATGGACGGATCCCCGCTACGTTGTTCGCTAGTGTAGCAGCAGACGCGCTTCCTTTTCTTCTTCACCTCGCCGTACCCCTAGTGGTCGGATGGACGGGGCCATCAAAGAGGCCAACTGAGAGGCTAACACCTGCATGCTCGCCAAGGTCCGAATACGCCCCACGGGGATGGCGGCCGACATGGCCGCCGCAGGATGCCTTGCCGTCGCTGCAGATACCCTGTGTCAAAAGGTCATCGAGGAGCGTGAACGGATAGACTGGCGCCGAGCAGGCGCTCTTGCTCACCCAGCTGCATTCGGAGCGGCTGTGGTGCCTCACGGCTCCCGCAAGAGTTCACCGCATGCGCGTGCCCGATACAGGCGCCCTCGCCGCCTTCAACGGCCTGTACGTCGGCGGATTCCTGCATGTGCTCTACCAGTGCTACTCCCCCGTCGTCTCTGCGGTCGCGACGCGCATGGCGGCCTCCAGCGCGCTCCGCTCCACGGCGTCTCCGCAGCACGCCCTGGGCTGCGCGGTCGTCGACAACCTCCACTGCGGCTCGCTATACATCCCTGCCTTCTTTGCGTGCGTCGGCACGATGCAGGGCCAGACCCTCGGCGAGGTGTGGCGCGCCTCTCTCGTTCCTCGCCTCTCTCTGCGCCCCTTCCCGCCGCTGCTCCCGCCCTCACCGCCCCCGCCCTCACCGCCCCCGCCCTCCCCGGCAAGGCTCTCGCGCTGCTGCAGGGCGAGTGGTGGCCGACCTACACCTCGTGCACCGCCTTTTGGATCCCCTTCATGGCCGCCAACTTCAGGATGGTGGCGCCGGCGAGGCGCGTGCAGGCCATGGCGGTGGCGAACATGTTTTGGAACGTGGTGATCGACTACCTCGCCCACCGCCAGCTCCACGCCCCGCCCTCGCCCGAACGGCCGGCGCTGCTCTTCCGCACTGAGCAGCCGAAGACGGTGGTTTGGCCGCTCTGCTAGCCACAGAGGCCCTCGGCCGACTGTACCTTTCCTTCCGTGTACTTCTTGTTCCTCCTCCTCCTCCACTGCCACCACTCGACTGTCTGAGCCAGCGGGATCTACCCGAAGGATGTCCAGTGTCAGGCGGCCCCTGTGCGGTGGTCAGCGCGGCGCCGCGCTACGTGAACCTCCAGGGCGCGCGCGAGCCGCGCCGTGGAGGCTCCGCGGGTGCCATATAGCGCGTCCTCGCCATGCCGTCTCCCTCGGACTCGTTTGTTCTGTCTTTGCATGTGTGATTGTCAGCTATGTCGTGACTCAGTCTCTCGCAGAGTCGCAGTCTCGCTCTGACTGCGACATTATGTCTCTGTGTCTCTGTCGCTCACTTTGTGAGCGCAGTCTCGATGTACAGCATGTGCCATGCGCTTGGAGCGGGGGCTTTCTACACTTTCTTGTACACTAGTGTTGGTATAATCGGGCTAGAGACCCGTGCATCGTGGGCGCATAATACGCGGACAAACCGTGTGCACACGCAACATGTACACATGTGCATGTGCATCTGCATGCATATGTTGCGGTGATCCTGTGATCTGTAAGGGTCCGCCCCGCGCCCGCAGGCGCATTTTGGCTAGTTCCATTTCACTCTGACACGCTAATCTTGTCATGTGCATGTCGTGTTGTAGCATGTGCTCGGCCTCATTCTCAGGTGCGCGCGTCCTCTAGTGGTCTGAATGAATGTCTGACTGTGCCCTGTGATCATTTTCAGTGCACAGTGGATGTGGTTCTTACGAACATTTTTGCTTGGGTTGGCCCTTGGCCGGGTTTTGAGGCGGGCTACCCTTGGGGCTACCCTTGAGGAGGGTCCTCCTCGGGAAAACAAAACGGGCCGTGGAATGAGTCGCAGCCTATAAATCATCGTTGCGCGCCCACGTTTGATCGAGAGGGGGAGACCGAATCAGTGCACGCCGCGGCCTCCCGAAGTCGTTTCGCGAGCCAAGGCGCGGCCAACCCCAGCCCGCCCTGCCACCCCGCCCATTCCCCGGCGAGCACGCTGCGGCCGCGCCGCCGACCAGCGCCGCGCCGCCCGCCGGGCCAAAGAGTCTGCCGTCCAAGCGGCGCAGGAAGTTCCGCTCTCAATCACAACTGCTGCTCGACAGCCACTTCTGCAGCCTACCCAGCACCGCCCAGCCCCGTCACAACCCTCCCGCAGGTGATGTTTTCCTGGCGCATGTCCTCGATGATGATCTTGACACTGGTCCAGGCGACGCCATCCGATTTTGCGTCTGCGCGGCGCACAATTTTGTTTTCATCGCGCCCCGACACCTCCCCGTCGCCTCCAAACGCGGTGTGTTTTACCGCGGGTCTTTGCGACTGTGGCAACCAGCAATGCAGCAACTTCTCGAAGCTGAACCCGGACTTCGTCTATGGGCAGATTCTCTCCGGGTCCGAGGTCATGTCCGGCCTTCCAGCTCTCGGACACGTCCCTCCTGAGCTGGTCAAGATTGATCGCACCGCTCCGGAGTTCGACGCAACGCTCAGGGCGGTGAGTGTGGATCCTAGTTTGGGCAGTGGGACCTTTGGCGACAAAGGCTACGCCAACCCCGGGCGCGGAGGGATCGGCAGTTTCGATATCTTCGAGGTGGGTTCTACCATCACGTTGTCGACACTCGGGACATTCTTTAATTCCTCCGGCTTTTGGGAGGTCGGTAACGGCGGCGCCAAGTACCAGCCGTGGTGGAGCCGGCCGGAAGACTCAAACGGTTTGACGATCGCTCAGAGCCAGGACCAGGTTAGTCAAACCTGTTTTGGCGTGAAACAGATCCTACAGTGCGAGTTCACAGCAGGTACCCGTATGATGGTCGGCATCGGGAACTGGCGAGCAACCAACAGCGCACCAGCCATGACGCCAGGCGGGGGTCTCGGTGTTTGTGACGCCACTGAGGCTGGTGGCGTCGCATACTCGAACCCTCAGAAAGTGGTGACGCCCAGTGTCTTCCAGTACCTCGTGCCCCTTGGCTTGGCCAAGGCTGATCAGTTTCCCAAACTGTGTGTGGATGCGGCTGGACGCCCCCTTCCAGACTCGAACTGCGCCACGGCGGAGGCGGCTGTCGAAGCAGCTCGCGATTCACCTGTCCACGCGAAAAACTGCTTCGTTTGCCCGGTCAACGAGTCCAACGTCTCTGCCTCTTTTGACGACCTTTCGCGCAGACTTGTGAGCAACGAATGCCGGATTTCCCCCTTTTACCCGAACGACCGAAATCTGCTTGGCGGATCCCTTGGCGACCCTGTCGATGGTGGCGAGCTGCGGACGACCACCATTCCCCGCGGGCCACAAGAGACAGCGCGATACACCAATGGCTTCTTCCATCCGCCAACAGCCATTGGTGTATAGCTGCTACACGTTCGGCTAGTGCAGGAAAGGCGGCCGCGACGGCGCATCGCGCGTTACTCGAGTATGGTGAGGCGCGCATCGTGCATGGCCATCAAGGCTGGGGCGAGCTCGAAAGACCGGGGTTGAGGTGTTGTTGGGTTTCCGGCGTTACAAGGGCAGATGTTTCTCTGATGTGATATGATAAGCCGTATGATATTGTGTGTTTTCTTCCGGTGCCGCCGACTTTGGCGGCCGCGCGTTAGATATAATAGAGATTACGAATCGGTCGCGTGCACGTGGAAGCTGGACAAGGTCGTAGAGTATCCCCGTTTCATGGGCGGCGAGGCGCGGGACCGTCTGTCTCTGTGGCGAAAAGTCCGAAGCGAAGTGTGCTGGGTCGCGTCACTGTTCGTTCTGAGTGGTGAGTGGTATGTGCCAGTGGTATCCGCTTTTCCATTCGATAAAGCAACGATATACCACGCTGGCAAGGCACATAGATTTTCTTTGACGCCGCAGCGGGGAGAGAGGAGGTGCGCTCGTTGCAAGACGCACAGCGGCGGAGCGGCGCGCACTGCACAAGTGGGCGCGCGGTCCTCACACGCACGCGGCGGCTGTGGGTTGAGAGAGTGAGAGAGGGGGTGAGTCGGCAAGACAAAGAGCCAAGAGGCTGCGCGGCGCAAGCGTGCTTCGGCCCAACCGCCGCAGGGAACCGTGGCCGCCGCTCTGTGAAAGTGTTTCAAAGTCGCCCACGCAGCGGCTCTGTGCGGCGCGCGCAGTGGGGCGAGGGCACCCCGGCGGCGCCCGCAACCCCGCACGCGCGCCTCAGCGCTGCGGCGAGGCGGTGTTGCGCAGCTTGTGCAGGTCGATGCCTTGCAGCGGTGGGTCCGAGAGGTGTCGCTTGTGCGTCGGCGTCGGCGGCGGCCGCTCGCCGCCTGCGCCGCCGGCCATCCCAAACGCCGCTCCTGCGCCGCGCTGGATGGCGGCGGCGGCGCGCTGGCCGTTGAGGGTGAGCACGCCCCAGAAGATGAGCAGGAAGGCCATCTGGCGGAGCATCGACATGCGCGGCTGCGCGGGCCACGACTCGTCGAGGACGACGGTGCCTGCGGCGAGATGGGGCGAGAGAGAGGGAGATGCGGGGGAGATGTGGGGGAGATGTGCGGTAGATGCGGGGGAGATGTGGGG